TATTGTCATAATCTGAAAGAACCCAGGAAATTTTCTGCTGCTGTTCCACGATCACCAGGAGACCTACTGTCCCTGCAACTATTTATAAAATAAATAAATAAATAGATGGTGTAATTGAGATAAATACCCACTGATGTTTTTGTGCACAAATACGCAGCAGAATCATGCCACGGAAGGAATTACTTTAGTTAAAGCAACAGAACATATCAAACATCACTTTGCAGATTTTTCTGAACAGATCTGGGCAGATGTTTGGAAAATCTGGGAAAGGGCGTATTTGTGTATTTTTGGATGGATAGGAACAAGGACTGATAACTGCGTCCCCTACTGCTTTGAATGTCAAGAATAGTTTTGGTGGTCAATTGGTGGAGGAAAAACGCCATTCCACCTAAACCACAGCTAAGCAGACTGAAGTCCTTCTTCCTCAAAACCTTTCACAGGTTCACTTTTCATACCATTTTCTTTTCCCCCCTGAGAATCTAAAGCTGGGAAAAGCACATGAAATCCCCATCTGGGGTACAGACACAGTGTCACTCACCCTAATTCAAACTCCCTCAAGTGATGAAGACTTTGTCACTGATCTCAAGAGTTCAGCTGGACTGCCCAGGCTCAAGCCTGATGCATCATCCTCTGGGAGAACAGCAGCAAATCTTTCACTTTGAAAGATGAGAACAGCTCCTCATCTGTCACCACCTTCCTGATGATTCTCAGCTTAAATACTTGTTCCTAAACACACTGAACTCTGCTTATTGGTCTTTGTGAAGCTCCTCAAAAAGCCCCTGCTTCTCCTGAGGGCAATGGTAGATGATGAGTCCTTATCTCTGAAAAGCAAATGCAGTCGGCCAGTCCCAACAACTTACTAGGAATGAAAAGCACTTTCATTTAGCAAACGGGGAAAGAACTTCGCTCTAGCAAAATTTTAAGAACAGATGAAATTTAATAGCCTCCTGCAACAGAACAGCATGTGACTCAGAGGCAGCCGCTCCAGCTCTACCTCCGCTGCTTACTTTCAGTTCCTCGTTAAGGAACTGTTTACATCAAATAAATGGAAATTTTAAAAAGGAAAAGAAACCCGCTGTTTCAGATTAAAAGATGCGTCTAGGCAGAAGGATGCCTCTGTCCACTTCTGCAAACGGGTGAAGCGGAATAGAGAGGGAAGAGAGGAGCGCTTTGCTGAGTCACGCTAAGGAGGGGCTATCTCCAGCGCTGCTGCTGCTGCTGCTGATCATCGCCACCCAATTCCCAGCTGCGGAGCGAGGGGACAGGGAGCGCAGGCAGCACAGCACCAGCAGCACCACCAGCTATTTCTCAAAGCACGTCTAAGGTGCTGAACTGGAGCTGTCAAATGGCTCACCAGAAATTCTGTATTAAGCAACGCAGTCAGACGAAAACAACTTACATCAGCTATCTGCAGTGAAGAGCTATCACATGCCTAATACATAAATGTGACTGGAAGCAAAACAAGAAGGGACATAAAAACCCAAATCACCTCAAACAGAATCAAGCAGCTACATTAAGTACATTTTAAATCCTCAAGTAGTCTGAAAGCCAGTCACAGCAGATCTAGTAGCTCTTGTAACTTGGTTTAGGACTGGGCAAAAACACAATGAGCTGTCTGCACAAGCTGCACCTGAACACAGTGAGAAGGGAGCTGCTAAATTCTTCTCCACTGAGTCATCTAAACAGAAAAGCCACCGGTGTGAAGGGCTTTCAATAGAAATATCTAAATCTGAGATGTGAAATAATCAGAGATGAGGAAGGAGGACTTGCAAATACATGAGAGGTAAACAACTGAAAAGCAAAACCACTGAATAAACCACACCATTTAGAAATAGCTGCTGTTTTGTGGTGTGTGAGATGAGAAGCCAGCAAGAGCACCAGCTCTGTTAAGATTTTCTTATTCAGAAAAAATAAATATATCCTGATGCCTCAGATATGCTTGAGGATTCAAACAAGCAAAAATTTTCAACACAACACTTTAGAAGAGTAAAAAGAGCCATATGGCATGGAGACTACAGTTAGCAGTAGTGCTTGTGCTGTGACAGAGGTGTTCAGAACACCCCATTCTCAGGAACACAAAGTCAGTGGGATGTTGTTGCCCACACCTTTATAATCTAAATTTAGGCATGCCTCTGCAGAATTACATTACTTACTCTCTTCTCCTTTCTCCAATATTTGGAGAACTTCCTTCATATATCTTGTTTTCCCTGCTCATGGGCATGACACAGGGTATGAAAGGTTTCTGCAGAACTGCATTTTGTATATAAAACTGACTATCTGCCAAAAATTCTCTTCCCTTTTTAGGTTCCTTTTTAAAATTTGTGTTAACCATTGTTATCAAGATGGCCTTGAAAACATGAGATGAACATTAGTACAAACAGTACAGTAAGGTTACTCTTTAATTCATAAATGACATTTAGAGGGCTAAGGTTCTCAGTAGATTGTTAATATGATAGATTAAAGCCAATTCAATTTTAAAAAGCACTTAACTTCTTAGAAGGCACTTAAAATCACATTTTACTTGTCAACATTACTTATTAGAGCAGTACTAATGTTTTCAGCAAAATATTTCAGCAAAGCATTTCTCCAAAATGTCTTCACCTTCATTAAAAGAATCTTCAGTTCTTCACACATTGAGGATGTCATAAAATGCAAACCAGTGCAAACTGCAGAGCTGCAGCCACCACATGCCTGTGACCTTTGTGAAGTTTGTTCCTGGGCATATCACTCAAATTCAGGCCAGTGTGAATACTGGTGGCAGGAGAGAGAGGAAGGTAACTTGCCACATATTGTGCTGTTTGGAAATACTCAACTTCAAAGAATAAGCATCACCCAGCTAAGTCTGATCTTAAAAGTCCAATCATATCTATCGCTTAGCTCTCCCTGCAATGGGAGGGACTGGAAACAAATGAGGGCCATGTCTCTTCCAATGCACCTGCCTGAGAGGAAAATGTTGTGTCAGCACTGGAAGATACTCATGAACAGGCTTTGAGCTGTTGCACAGAGGTAAAAAGGTGCTCTGAGGTGACCAGCTCAGGCTGCAGCTTTGCCTTCAGCACCAGTGAGATCACAGCTTTGCTGGAGGCACTTGGCTCTGTAAACCCAAGCCCAAACTTAAACACAGTTACTAGGAAGAGAGAAGCAGAGGACCTCTTCAGAACACAAATCCACAGCTGCACTCTTTGGCACTGGGAAGGCTGTCCTGAAGGAACTGTACATTAAAACACGTTTGGCCAGCAACCTGGACTGCACTCAGACACTTGTGTTCCTTCAAAAGTGACAGGCTCTTCAGCACAGCTGGATCTGGCAAGAAACTTAATGTGCCTCTGGACAGCATCCCTCTGTGGAACAAAAGAAAGTTCCAACAGGCTTAAAATCCTTTCTTTACCCTGCTCAAATAAATGCTAACAGCTGAATAAATGACCTGAACAGCCCCTCTCACCTAGCAGCCTCACATGACTGTTTTGGCTTTACCTTGTGACAAACAAAATGCTGTCACAGGATAAGTCAGACTTTGGACTTGGAGAGCTGAGAAGGACACCACTCTTTACAAGCTGATCTCATGCCAGAGTAGCACTGGTTTTGAATCAGTCTGCCTGTGTGCCTCTGTGAGCAAGCCTATACGCTAGACCTAAGTAAATGATGAAGGCCACTGAGCTTGTAGGCTGGGTTGATCCTATGCTAAGAGGCACTTGACAAGCCAGTGTTGTCCTTAAATTTGGGACTGAATGACATGCCACATGGCAGTGAACATTACTCAAGATCATATGACCCATGATAAGGCTAATCTGTCTTCAAATCACTTTATCAAGGAACTCAGTTTTCATTAAGTTTCTGAACTGCCCTTCTTGTTTTAAGAGCAAATACAACAGGGAAACCTTGGAGTTCCCTTGTGCTTTTAGCAAAAGGGATTTTTTGCAGTACTTGTAAGGGAGAATCAGTATTTAAAACTGAAAGGTGGTCCTTTGGGGCTCCCCAGCTATGTCACCTCTCCTTGGTATGCTACACCTGTGACAAGGCCAGAATCATTGCTCGGTGCTGTCTAGGGAGGCCAGCGCAGAGCAGCGCGTGTGCTGTGTACAGCAGGGTGGGCAGAGGCCAGATCCAAACCTCACAACCGCGGCTCCGCAGCAGCACAGCCTTTCAGTGGAAATGCAGCAGCTGTTCCAACAGGGACACGAGGCCTTTCCCCTGACACTCGGCACCAGCTGTGCCAGACCCAGAGACAGCCAGGTCTATCTCTTCCTGCCAGTGCAGGGTTAATGGTTAGACTTCGTGATATTAGAGGTCTTATCCAACCCGCACAGCTCTATGGTTCTACTGAAGACAGACCAGCTGGTGGCTAATAAACGTTGCTTTTATACACGCTGACGAGCCGAGAGCAGTCGGAAGGGGAGCAGCTACAATAAAACCTCTAAGCTGTGTCAGCTGGGAGCGGAGCGCACGGCAGCACGGAGGAGCGGCACGCCGCGGGTTCCTCTCCGTCCGGGGCCGGCTGAGCTGCAGGCACAGCTAAGCGAGGCTCTACACGGGGCCAGCTCGCTGTTTTGCCGGCTGAGCTGCAGGCACAGCTAAGCGATGCCGCTGACCACGCAGATGCTCGCTGTGTATGCGCGGTGCTGCAATCGCCGAGGCGTCCGTGTGTCCCGACCTCCGGCAGCAGGGCACAGGCCCCGCGGCGGTGACACCGGCGGGCACGGCGGGCCCACAGGGACACCGGGCCGAGATGGCGGCACCCGGCCTCGTCCTGCCGGCGGCAGCGGCCGAGGGGCGGTGACGGAGGGCGGGGGACGCTCCTCCGCGGAGGGACGCGGCCAGCCCCGTCCCGCCCCCCGGTGTCACGGAGCTGCGGGACGGGCCCGGCGGGGCGGGGGCGCTCCGGGACGGGGCTGGGGGAGCGCTCCTCCGCGCATGGGGCTGTCAGCTGGGCTGTTCCGCTTTCACCGCGGGAGCGCTTGCGGTTTGCTTTCTGCCGCAGGGTTCGAAGCCCAGAGCCAGAAATGAGGAAGGTTCTGTGCGTGGAGCCCGTCATTTTCATCTACATTTTTGCGTCTTCCCTGACGAGCCCGCTGGTGCAGCAGTTCATCTACCGGCGGCTGTGGGAGCAGGAGTACAACTCCACTTTCGTGAGCGACGACAATGTCAGTCACTGCGAGCAGAATAAGAGCAGCCCGGCTTATATCAAACAGAAGGCAAGTGGCGGGGGAGGAATAATAATTGTAAATAAACTTGCAGCCAGGAGGTGCTGCCTCAGAATAACCTGTTTTATAACCTTAACCTTTAATTCTCCGGAAAGCCGTAGTTTTGTAGCCTGCTCTCACTTCGCTGTCTCCTCGCTCTAATGTTATGCTGTGGGTAGTGATAGCGCTTTAAAGAAAAATTTGTCTCCAGGAAGATACTGAGACAAATTGGTATTTTAGCGGAAGTTGAAAACCGTCTGAGAGAATGTGGACCGAATTAGCACTGGGCTGACATTACCTCGGGTACGGCTGGAGGCTCCTCCCACGACCATTGGAGTGTTTGTGAGCCACCCGTTGTCTCTGTGGCTCCTACTGTCCTTTATAACCATGTGAAGCCTGACAAATGCCCTGTAATTTTGGGGAATAGCATCTAACTTAAAATGCATGTATTTCAGAGGAATTACAAGAACGAGGAACAGGGGAAATGAAAATTTTTGTGGTTTTAAAACGTGGAAAAAAAATTAACTGACCTTTGCGTGATCAAATACAGTCGATGGCTTGCCATTCCGAGTACTAGTCTGCCTTTCTGGATTGCAAGGACATCAAGATGACAGGTTCCCATGGTCAGTTACATTTTTAGCACTTTTCCATAGTTCAGTCTGCTGGATGGATAGCTAGTTATTGACTGGAACCTCTTCCATTGCACTTCCAGTGCAGTTTTAATGCTACGCTTAAACGGAGCTAACTGTGAGCTGCCAGCAGAAGAGATGGTCATTCTCCATTTCCTTTTCCCCTCTCACCCCATGTGTTTTATCTCACAGTTCTGCAGTTACAGGTTATGGTTTGCATTTGAGTGGGGCACTGATTCAACAGAAAGCTCATCTCTTGTTTCAGGGTTGTTGCTTTTTGAATGTTGTTGTTTTTTTTTTTTTTCTGAAGCAGTACACTGCTCTGGTACACTCAGTGGCCACATGATTTCTGTGTCTAGCACGGGAATAGCAGAGGGAACATATTTTCAGAAGAGGTGCAATAGGACCATACTTGTCAACAACAACTGGTAGATGGGTTGGATAAAGATGAAACCACTGTAGGGTCAGAAAAGTAATTGATTCACCGAATAAATTACACAGAAGTTTGGGTTACAGAAACAGCTGGCATTCCCTTACACTGCTGAAAAGGTGGTACTTGAAAATTTTTGTTCACATCCCATATTTGAATCTTTGATGTACTGCATATGTGCAAGACAGAACACCTGAGCTTATCTGCCTCATTTGCCTTATATAAAAGAAGAGTATTAATGGTACATGCTTCCAGTGAAGGTGATCAAAGAAATAATTCAGGAATTTTAGTATGGCGTATGTTCTTTGTCATGTGACAGAAGCTGGTCTTAGTAGAAAGAATGTGAAAGTAAAAAGGTCACTAGAATTTTGGTCCATGGTCTGGGCTGACCCACGGAGGCAATTCCCAGTCATTGTCAGAGGAATGCTTGCGTTCCTCCCAAAAAGTATTTTCTTTAGTATTGGCTCCCCACTTGATGCTGTGTCTGGCCATTTTCTCTAAGCATGCAATTCTAATTGCAAAGGCCATCAAGAAATCTACATTTCAAACACATCTTTGCATTTCACAACCCCCTCAAATTAAACCTGTTTTTCAAATTGCCATCACTTATGGTTCAAGATGTAAGACTTTCTTTTCGCAGAACACTGAAGCTGAATGCTTAATTTCAGCTGAAGTTCATTTAGCATCTCTGATGTGATGGCACATTCACACTATACAGGTCTTTTGTTTACGAATTATAGTTAATTTGGTATTTGAGAACATGAGTTCTTCAAGACAGCAGTTGAATAATGGCCAACAGAACTTCTTAGTTTCCCTTTCCTGCCAAACTTCCATTCCCTGCATTTCAGCAATTGCCAGTAGAGCATGAGCTTTTAAACAATTACACTCTTGTCTGGATGCCTTGCTGCATTTTTATACCACACTAGTTACCATAGCATAACAATTTAAGTGTTCAAAACATGCATTAATTTAAGTGCAAATGGGCCTCTGTGCTGAGTAATAGTCCTGTGTATGGGCCAAAGAGTAGAGCCAGTAACTTAATTCCAAACCCTTTCGCGAGGAAGTCTGAAGTAGGTGTTCCAGATTTTCCAAGACCTTCCTAACTGAATTAGGTTTATAGATGTTGTAACTTTTGCTGTAAGGCCCTGTTTGGCATTAATGTTTAAAAGAACAGCTCTCTTAACAGTTAATTTAGTGTAAATCCTTACGTTCTGAGAATGAAGAAGCTTTATTCTAATTTCACCTGTTTCAAAGCAAAATGTAAAAGGAAATTGAAGACAAAAATAATTTGGAGCCTGTGGAGGTAGAAAATAATTCAAAATGGTTCATCTTTGCAAAATATAGATTAATTATTTTTTACAATTTGAAAAATTATAATAAAGTGAGTTTAAAGGTAATTTGAATATAAACTGAAGCACTCTGATCACTGGCTTGGATAATCCTTTTTTTACTATCTCAGAAAGAGTTATATTATTCATCATTAAACATTATTTATCATCCCATTGATTTATTATACAATCCATTCCTTTCTCCTTGCTACTCAGTAATACTTTATCTTATGAGTGTGTGTGTTTATCATGTACTTTATATTGTTCAGTCTCAGGTGCTACACTTCTCTCTTAATTTAACCCTTATATAGTTACTTGCTTCTTAACTTTTAAGTTACTTGCTTCTTCATTTTTGTTCTTTTAATTTTGAAACAGGCGATTTTAATATCTATTTCTGTCTACCATGAGTAATTTTTCAGAGCAGAGGAAATTTGCAGATTAAAAAACTTAGACCTTTCTCTTCAAATATATGTAGCTCCATTGATTATTTAATGGAGTTATGTGATTTTTAGGCAGCTGAAGGTTTGACCTATGATTTTCCATATTTTTTTCCTTTGGCTTTATAAAACCATAGAGTGGGAAGTTGCATGCCTTACACTCTTAATGGATTTTCCCTGTACTTATGTCTGTAGTCTTATTTTCAGCAGACATCAAGTTTTTTTATCTCAGTAAGTTCATGGTCATGTGAGGTACCTGGATGTGTAGCCATGTTTTTTCTGTTGCTGAAAGAACAGGGACACCCAAGTTATGGGTTTTTTTAATTCTTTCAGATCTACATTCCATTATGGTCTGGCAATAATCTTTGTATTATGTGGTTAAAGTGGATTGAGATTATACATATTAACATTTAATTTTATTTTTAATGTAGTAGCATTTGTTTGATGCTCATGTCTTTGAAAAAGACAATCCTAGTAAAGAAGCAATGTCTTCAACTATATAGAGTTCTCTTTGTCAGCAGCAGAGGAGTTTAAAGATCAGAATAACATTTTCCATCTCAGTTTGCTCAGTCTTCATGGTTTTGACCCTTCCAGGGTAACAGCACTGCTGGCCAGTGGACTGGATGTCATGAATGCTAAGGCAGTCAGACACCATAAGGGGAGGGAGCAAAAGACTTTGGAGTGCTGGGCATCTTGAAAGATTTCCTTAAGAACCCCAGAATCAGTTAAATTTTTGTCTTGTAATAAAACCTGGTTCTTATAAGCAAGGAAGAGACTGAACTAAAAACTCATTGTCTCTGCTTGTAAATATAAATGTGAATTTATAAAGCATTCAGCAGCTTTCAAAATTGCCCAAAGTACATTCCTGTAAGTTTTAGGGTTTTTTCATCATTATGGATGCACTCAGTCAGGATTATGTTAGCTACAGAGGAGACACCTGAAACGTGGAGTATGGATGGCTTGAATACAGGCTGAGAATGGTGTGGGCAGGCTTGCACAACTCTACCTGTTGCTGACTGAAGAGCACAATACCCGCCCAAGTCAGTGTTATGCCTCAGAAAACTCCGAGAAGACCTTCAGCATGACTTTACTCTTTGCATCTGAAACTTTATCTTAGCTAGTATAAAGGGTTTGTATGAATAAAGTTGCTTCCTTTTCCCCTGTTGTCCAATCAGGTGGTTCTTCTGTCAGATCAGGTGGTTGTATTTGAAAGGACTGTTGTGGCTGCTCTCGTGTCAGGTCTGCATCTATGCATTAAAAACAAGATCTGAATTAGATTGATGAGTGTTCATTAGCAACTGGCTTCATAACAATTTTTTTTTAAATTAAACATTCTTCAGTTTTTAAATTAAACTAAATTAAATTTAATTAAAATTTAATTTAATTCTTCAGTTCTTTTTTTCTAACAGCTATTCCTGCTCTGTTGTTTTTCAGTTATATTTGATTTTTTTACTTCTGTTAAAAAGAACTCTGAAATTTTCCCCATCATGGGTGTTTACAGTTTATAGTGTTAGCTGCTCTTCCTTATGTGAATACGTGCTGTGGTGTATCTGTAGAGACATCACTGATCTGGACAATTTCAGAATCCAGAACTTTACAGTGTTTGCAAAATCCATTAATTCACATACCTGTGAGTCAGTATAATATTTAAAGCTGTATTTCACATTTTTGGTTGTTACTGTTGTTTGTAGTAGTAACAGTAGTAAGATTGTACAGTGGGATGTTAGAGTGAATCATGACCTGTTTACCTGTATAGTGTGCTCCAGTCCATTAATTGTTTGTTGTAACCCCCTCAGTAGAATTATCTGGGAGGAAAAATGATCTCCTGTGAGGAGGGAGTATGGGGTGTGTTCCTTAATCGATGACTGGCTTACTACAGATTTCTGAGCAGCATTAAAATAGCCCAGTGCCCTATTGCCGTACCCTATATTAAAGGAGATACTTGCAGTAACAATACTTACAGCTCTTGTAAGTGCATGTTCAAAAGGATTGTTCTCTTGTCTGCATTGAAAGTTTGTCAACAGTACAAGTAAGACTGTGTCTCAAGCATTAAGTTTTGGGTTAAAATGTAACAGGGAACATTTGAAGAATATTGAAGATTGAATTACAAAAGTTTGAATATGCAACATATTTTATTATAGACTAGTATATCATAACATCATATAATCTTATAAAACTACATTGCATGTATTATGTTTTATAATAGTATAATTTATAATCTATAAACATGTACAATGATACTCATTATATTGCATACTAATATTTATGTATGTAATATTGTTACAGGTTTTTTTCCTCAATATACTATAATATTTACAATTATTTTTATTTTCTCTTTGCAGGAAGTTCAAGAAAAAGCCTCTGTTTTTAATATGCAGTTGGACTTAACTAGGGCCATTCCCAGCCTTACAGTTGCCTTTGTCATTGTAGCTAATGGGGATCGCCAGGGACACAAAAGGTCTTTAGTTTTACCATCAATGGGAGCTTTGATTTCTGGTATTAGCTTCACTGCAATATCATATTTTTCCTTGTCACTCTCTGTCCTATTTGCAGTCGCATTTATTACTGGACTGTTTGGAAGTATAGCAACTTTCCTTGGAGGAGGCTTTGCTTACATAGCAGAGGAGTGTCATGATGAGAAGCAGAAAACAACACGAATAGCTGTAGTGGATTTGATTTTTGGAGTTGTATCTGGATTGGCAGGTCTGTCATCTGGCTACTTTCTGAGAGGAATAGGCTTTGCATGGACATTTGTGATAGCATCTCTGCTCCATGTCATTAATATCATCTATATTGTATTTTTTCTGGAAGATACTGTAGGTGTATCTCAATTCCAGCATGAAGCACCAGTATCCTGGAAAGAACTTCTTAGGGAGACATTTTCTGGAGTGTACATGCTTTTTAAAACTGCCCCTTATAAAAAGAGAATTTTAATAATCGTGTTACTTTTTACATTTATGACTTATTTGTTTACTCTGCTGGGTGGGAGTTCACTTTTTACACTGTATGAACTGGATGAGCCGCTCTGCTGGAATGAAGTATACATTGGATATGGAGCAGCTGCATTCACTTCTGTCTCGCTGACCAGCTTTTTGGGAGTTTACTTATTTTCCAAATGTCTCAAAGACATTTATATTGTCTTTATTGGGATGTTTTCTTACATTGGAGGAATGATCATGGCTGCCTTTGCCAAAACTACCCTGCTCATGTTTTTAGGTGAGTTCAGAATCAGTTGTTCCACAGTCAACAATGTATATGAAAGTACTGCTGTGTTATCTGTAGTGAATGCGGGTGTTGGATATTGAACATACCACCTTGAAAGGGTCATAGAGAGGTAAAATATAAATGGTTGATCAGACTGATCTAGGATTTGATTAAAAGTTGAACTGTGTGGAGAAACAATGGAATTACTTGCTTATGATTAGGTTTTAGTGACGTAGAAATATATTTGATTTATTAATTTCTCTGTTCTTGGATAATTGTGTCTCTGTGAACATCTAGTGTAACTTCTATGTTGCCTTTTACTATTTGAGGAACTAAGTCTTCAGAAGTATATAACTAATACAGTTGCAATATATTTGTAAAATCCTGGAATTTAATTACTTCAATGTCTCATGCCTGCTTCACAGTGAGAGTGCCGTCTTTGTTCTGCTTTATGCCTATTCCTGTTCTCCGATCCATGCTGTCAAAAGTGGTTCTCCCTGGTGAACAGGGTAAGTAGAATTGTTTTTAAACAATAAAAATATATGGTGCTTCAGAACAGAGATGCAATAAGATTACCTTTAAACAAACAGATCTGTATTAGTATTTTAAGATTGCTTTTCTTTCAAGTTGTGTATAATATGAGCCTGTATCTTGACATTAATGGCTCCTGGTTCTGAATTTAATACAAACAACATTGTGTTAAAAACTACTGCAAGTTTCAACTCTCAAACAAAATACTGTTCTTAAATTAAAGACCATGGGGACCTTGAAGCAGAAGAATGCTCAAGATTTATGCAAGTGTGATTTCACAAGGGCTTCTATATGCACAAGATTTTGGCATGCAGACAAAGATGTTTCTGTTATTTAGTCAATTTCTCACTAATTTAGAAAGGTAAGCAGTAGGTGGTCAATCTTCATAGCATTTGGAAACTATTAGACTTGGATCGTCAGCTATGGAGCAGGAACCCAACTTCAGGCCTGTGGCTTCTAAATATGTCCCAAGAAATGTAACATAATACTTCTCAACATCCTTTCCTTATGGAACACAGAAAAAAGCATGTCAGGCCTCAAAATATGGCTCTATTATCCCATATTTTGCTTTTGGGGAGTGTGTATTTTCTGGATTTTGGGAAATACATACTTTCTAGAAATATATTCCTGAGCTGATTTATTTTTTAAAAGATTAATCTTCACACACTAAAACAAAGATCTCTTTGTACTAGCTGTGCTGAAATACACCTCTGGTATTGAGTTTCTTGGCATTCCTCAGGGCTTTGGCTACTTGAGTAGTTTGATGCAGGAGTCAGGTTGTATCTTGTCATCCTTTTCTGCTTACCTTGTGTGATTTTGGTTGTGGTCCTGGGACTATGAATGCAGCTTGGGAAAATGTGTTCCACAAGACATGGATGGGATAGATTGCCACCTAAAAGGGTAGTTCAGTACAAAAAAATGGTGCTTATTTCTTTTCAAAAATGAGAAGGCAGTGGTTTTAAGCTGAACCTGCAGTCCTTGTTGAATCAATCTTTTCCACATATAAAAGTAAAGATTAGAGATGGAAGAAACAAGAAAGGGAAAAGTAAGAATGAAGAAGAGAACTGGAAGGGGTAAAGAATGGAGATGTGCAAAATATGGTTAGTGAGGATGAATAGGTTAAACGTCATGTGATAAGCAAATGCAAGAAAGTAGGCATGGTGACAGAATAATAGTAAAAATAGTTTTCATCAACAAAATCTGTTATTTGTTGGTTTTTTGTTCATTTAAAAGAACTAGCATTTTGTAGAAGTTGCCACAGAAGACATGTCCATAGCAAAGTATGATCCTCTTGTGCTTGTAACTTGCATAGTTGCAAAAATACTGTCAACAGATATATCTTTTGAACCATGTTTAAAAACTTCAGTACTTTGAAGAGACTTTATTGTGTTTTGTTTGTAATTCACCCATTTATTTTTGGCAGGTGCTGTGTTTGCTTGTATTGCCTGTTTAGAAGTTGTGACCGGCACTATGTCAATTTCAGTTTTTAATATTCTCTATGCAACTACTGTTGCATGGTTTTCAGGCTTTAGCTTCCTCCTATCAGCAGGCCTTTGTCTAATTCCACTGTCTGTCCTGTGGTAAGTATGGATCAGGAGGGTTCTTCTGCCTTTCCCAGTAATTTCTATTTTGACATGAATTGAAGCTGAATAGTTTAGTGCAGTAGTTCTCAAACTTTCCTATCTGCTAGTGTGCTGTAGTGGCTCTAGCTTAACACCTTGTCCCTGGTCCAGCTACCTTCCCTCAGCTCTGTGCTGTGAATTTCCCCCAAACTGAAGCCTATCCTGAATGTACTGCCAGTGGGATACACCATACCCTTGACTGCATGTGTGCCTTCCCTTGGTTTGAGATTCTTACTTGGTTTTTCTTCCAGGAAAGCCTTACCCACAGACCACGTGAAAGGCATGAGCTTAATTTTGCAATCTGAGCTCTTCTAGATGCTAATGAGGGTTGTAAACATGGCAGTCATCCACTGGGTTTAATGGAGAGCTATCTGTCCTGGTCTTTGGTCATGGGTACCTTGTGACCCAGTGCCATTAAAACCTGTAAAAGATTTTAAAGCCCAAAAGAATAAACCTCTGCACTTTTAAAAAATAGGCTTCTGTAGAAGTTGTATCTAATCATATATAGTGACCATCTAGTAATACAGACAGTGAAATACTATTCACGAGTACTCATAAAGCAAAGATCACTTTATTTCCAGTATAAATTACTTCTTTTTAGGATGCTGAAATAAAAATCGAAGTAACAGAAGAATCACTTTTCATTAGATAGATTTACAGTTGGGGAAAAAGATGTTTTTCTTAAGAGGGTGGAACTCTGGCTGGAGACTTGTATATTTTTTCCTAATACTTAGACTTCACCTTAGTCATCATTTATCTCTGCATCAGCTGATTATCACTGATTGAAATCTTAAATCAGTGATAATGCTGTAGATTCAGAATATTTCACATAATTTCAAGTCTATTCCTGCTTCAGTATAATTCTTCACACAGTCTTTACAGGGAAACTATACTAATGGTAATTTAAGGTAGTGATGGGTCTCAGACCTGAGGGAATTGAAGCAAAGGGGTCTTGTGTGTGTGTGTGAGTAGAATACTTACCAGTAAAGTAATAAAGTAATTGAGAAATTTAGTTATATTAACAAAGGCACAGTAAGTACTGTTCTATTAAATATTATCTTCAGTTAAGTTGAGAAAGTGTCTATTAAGAAAGCAAACTCTACTGCAGAAAAGATCAGGTATTCACCACCAGTCCATCTTGCAATCAGTTCTATAGTACATCATACCATAAATTTCTGAAAGTTGTTTTTGTTTACCTTCTGTCATTAGTTTCATATGTCTGATCCTTTGAATACCTTTTCTCTGCACCTTTCTTTTTAGAGTGCCACGCAGTGTTACAGCTGGAGAGCAGAAAGGGTAGCTGTTCCAGTTTGTAACAGGCAGAGTAGTTTAGTACTGTGCTCAAAGGCAGCTGTAATGATATTGTCTGACTTCTGTAATTAGGGCAAATAGTGTCATTGCTTTTGTTCACTAAGACATCATCAGCTTTGTGCCACAGAGCTATGCTGTGTGTTTGTTGGTGCTGAATCAGCCTGCTACACTGAACTATCTCTGCTAAAGATACCTGTCTTTTCTTTGTTTTACAGCTGGCTTCTGTGCACAAGCTGGAATGGGGAGGACTTGGCTCTGCTGGTACCTGAAGAAGTATCCAGCATAGAGAGTGCTGATAGTTGAACAAAGGATGCACATACTTGGGATTTCTAATCTGACATGCAGTGGCACAGATCGTTATGTCACACAGAAACCACAGAGATAACACAATCTCCAAGTGGCCCTGCAGCAATAAGCACTAAATTGGTACCACTCAATACCCAGTCTCTTTTTAGCACTTGACTAAAGCTAGCTCTTAACTATGGAAATAGGCTGGCAATTGAGATTAATGCTGCTTCAGCATGAAGGAAAAAATAAGGTAGGATGATACTTTTTCCACTTACCCTTTCTCAAGTTTGAGAATGTCAACTGTGGATTGTGATACATCTTGTATCACTCGCTCTAAGCTGGGTGACAGAGATAAGCTTAGCAGCACAGAGGACACTGGCAATTCTGCTGAAGTCATTGCAGCTCGTGCCAGCTGAGGATGTGGTCCACTGTGTACATCTTGAAAGCCCTGTCTTAACATTGAAGCCCCCAAACTGTCTAAAATTACTAAACTAAAAACTAGTTCTTTTCAGAAAGCAAACTGGAGGCAGTACTCACACCTGCTGTAAGTTCACTTACTGTTCTGCAGCTAGCAGAGTGTTTGTGTAAGTTTAACATAAGATGTGTGGACCTTGCCTGTGACTTAGTTCTTGAAATGGATTTTCACACAGAACTGTCAGAGAATTTCCATCTTGCAGAGTGTGAAGTTCAGCTAAACGTACATTTTGCAGAGGCCATATTGCACATTTATAATTTTCCATATATTAAGGACTGCGTACAGACATCTCTTTTTTGTCCCAGAGATATTTCTTGTTTTCTAGTTAAGCTTAAATATTTCTTTTAGCAAAAAGCTGTGATAGCATCCTTAGCTGTAGATCTTTATTTTTTTAACAGCCCTGAAATGAGGTGACAAAATTAGAATCATGAATCTAATCATTTTGCAATGAATGCAACATAATTATGAACACCTGAACAGCACTTCTAATCTTCAAAGCACTTTACAAATGTTATCCAAAACATCCTTCCATAGTAGATACTATCCTCTGTTGCATAAAGAGAAGTTAACAGAGAGGACAAGTGACATGGCCAGGGCCCCAGCACAAACTGGTGAGACTGCCAAACCTAGGAATCCATTTCAGCACTGACTCCTCACCTTTTCCCTTAAGATCTTTAAGTAGGAATTGTCCTGAGTATTAGGTTCTGGAATGCACAGCACAGCAGAAGTGTGAATATAACACCATGTCAAGGACCACTCCCATCTGTTGATTTTGTTAAGAGTTTGACAGCCAATACTGTTCTGATCTCTCAAAGTTCTGTATGACTCTTTTCCCCCAAAACAGATTAGGCAAAAAAAGAAAAAAAAAAAAAAAAGTGATTGCCATTTAGGGAATGAAACCTCTAGGAAAGCATCTACAATGACTTCACATGCACACACCATAGGATAAAACTGCAGACAGGCATACCATGAGCTGCATGCAGCCGCTGATACCCATCCTATGAACAGAGACTCACACAGAACTTCTCAGTGGTACTCCACCAAAAAATAGTAATACCAAATCATGATGATACTTTTATAGATCCTTTATAACGGAATTCTTTAATTCTTTCCATGTATCATAATCACAGAGAAGGTTGGAAGAAGGTTCAACTAAGTTAAAGGGAGAGCTTACAATATTCAAGAGACCATTATCTGCTCATCACAGGTGAAAACAGAGACATTTACATAACATGCCTCTAGCCAGCTCTTCCACTTCTGTCCTGAACTTCCAAGAGTGATGTTGGCAATTAAATATCATTAGCTCTCTCTCAGCAGTTTAGACAAGAGCCAGAAAATAAAACTGCTTAATGCCTTCAAGGTGCCCAAGCTACTGCCAACTTGCTGGAAACATGAGCCGAGTTCTACAATAACCAGTGGGTCCAAAACATAATGAGTACTTGTAGAGAGATTAAGAAAACACTGATGTAAAGGATTTTAGCACAAACATTACATTGTCTTCCTTGCCTCTTCATTATGCAGTTATGTAAGGCTTTATGGAATTAACTATTTCACACAAAACTGCCTGGAAATAAAAAAGCAAATGCAGAAGGGGTGTGTACTTTCACTTGCTCTTCGTCAGTGGACACCTTTTCTAGCACTGGGAAGGTTACAACAAAGCGAGCCATTCCACAGCGGTGCTGTGTCAGTCCAGCTGAGAACAAGTACATACACCTCAGGAATAGCTTTGTTATGATTTAACTGCACAAAGTACGTGCTGTTTGCAAAATGCTTCTGGTAGATGGAGCATTTAGGCTATGAATTTAGGTCAAAACACATGGAGGATATGAACTGTGTTTTTAAAATGCCTTGCACGGTGCAAGCTGAGAAACCAAGTACTAATACCCATCAGATTATTAAAGCAAAATGTTCTAAGTTTATAATTTCTTTATTTGTGTATAAATACAAATTATTTTGACATAATAATAATAAAGCTTGTTTTTTTAAACTCTGTTGCATGTGTAGTTCTTGTGCTTTTAAATTTTGTTTTGACAAATGACCACTGGCATGACTGATATTTTTGGTGTACACAGGAGTAGGACTATGGTATCATCTATTTTTTATGGTCATAACAAACAGAGGAACAGGAAGATATGCTGATGTGCTTTTGCTTCCCTCCTGCACCCAGGGAGGGGAAAGGATGCTGCCCAGAACATCGGCACCAAGAGGAGAAAGGGAATTGCAGAGTAGGGACAGCACTGCTGCCTGCAAGAAGTCATGGTGGAAGCTTGTGCTGCACCTGCCAGAGCCTTCCTCCCCTTACCCAGGCCAGATCTGTCCCAGCTCCAGTACCCAGCACACCCCACTTAGCCACCTCTGTGGGTTGCTCCATGCAGGACCTGCTTTACAGAATGAGGCTTGTACAAAATGGGAAGAATGGGCTGGGGCAGGAAGCCCACTCCACAGCCCAACCCCCTGCAACACTGAGATGTAACCCTTCCTTTTTACCTCAAAAGTTTTTTGCCTCGGTCCTGCTTGACTCCCATTTCTCTACGAACAGCATAAATTCTCACAAGGGCCTCTTACATGTAGTATTTGCTTTCCAGCCTGTCTAACCCCTAGGATTAGCTTCCTTACAGACATAATGAACAATGCAACTTCCTGGCTCTGAATGTGGCTTGATCTCACCCAAGATTATTACGAAGTATACTAGTCATTGAACAAAGCCACCTAAAAATTGCATGCAGCCTCCTAATCTGCTTCTGGTTTTACACTGCACTAATGAGAAACTCTAGTAAATTGTCTTAATGTAGTCTTGCTCAAATGTAACAGCATCTATCTTTCAGTCAACACTAGGAATGGGCAACCAGCTTAATACACTGAAGTGGGGAGCTGTAACTGTGCCCGATTGTTGGATGGCTCCATTTTCTTGAACAGTGCTGATAAGATGGCAGACCTCCTAAAAATCCATGCCAGCACCTTTAACTTGTCCCAGACCTGGCAATGTAATCCCTCAGCTTTTCTGGCCTGAGCCTCGAGCAGTACAAAGCCTACTGAACCCCAAGCTTGCTTTATAACAATAGTACTTTTGCTTTACATGAAACTGCAGAGGAACTTGTCAATTATAAAACAGCAGCCAACTCTGATTTTAATAAAGTCTATCAGCTCACAGAAAGATGAGGACAGCTGTAGAAAACAAAAATGGGAGTAGGTCTACACTTGCATGTTCAATTTACTGGTCCTCTGTTTAACTTCCCTAAGGAAAAAAACCCAAATAAATTAAACAGCTTGTACTGCATAGCACAAGCCTCTAACCTTTACAAGTCTCCAGTGAAAGAAAATTTTAGACACTTCACTTCTTAAATGAAATGTTTAAATATAAAACCAAATAAGACCACCACTAAAGTGAGTCATACTATCATCTTAATGTTTCCAAAATGCTGCAATGTTTTGCACATAAAAGCACTATAAAGTTTACAGGACAGAAGCTAGAGACTTTGGCCCACAAAGGTAGGGAATTTGTAGTAGCTGTAAGCCCAATGAAAAGCACAAGGAATGTTTGCTGTGGTGGAAAGAGGTTTATAGTAACATTCTTGCTAAAACTATATACAACAGAACACTAAATACATTTAATCAAGTCATTAAAACCTGCTGAAATAAGATAGTTCCTGCTTTAGAAATACTGTTTCCAGTTCTTTATATCTGACAATAGATAACATTTTTTGAACCACAGACTTTTTTTCCTGATATGCCACATTGTATGAGCTGCCTTGCAGGATTGGTATAACACTGTCACACGTATGACACTGGAAAGAGTTGTTACAACCCCAAATTTAATAAATAAAATCACTTAGGCACACAAAAACCCTTGCAGTGGCCTGCTCCTTTAAAAGGTCCATTTAAATATAAATCTCTCAGTCTTCCTTAATTAAGATCTGAGTTTTGTAAACCCACAAATAACTATTTCTGTATTTGTACCACCATACCTTCATGTTCTTACTGCACCAGTTTAATTAGGTACTTTCAGAATTCTGCATTCCTTCTTAATAATAAAATACCTAGACCTGGGAGCACTCTTTTCAATTATGTTCAAACAGATTTTAAAACATCTCTTTAAACCCCAAGTGGAACTTGCTTCTACTTTCAGAAACCAAAATATCGTCTCAGGGACACACATGAAAAAATCTAGACCTTTAAGCCCATTATTACAGCAATACTTCCAATTCTACACAAAAGCTTAATAGCTCACTCATAAATAGCTGTCAAGAGAGGGATACGATGTATGTAAATGGCAATGCTGACATTCAAGACCCTTAAAGATATTGCAATAAAAGGGACAACACTGGGTCATGGATAAGAGATTCTTAATTTAGGAATAAATATATTTTGGAACGCAATAGCATTTATAGCAAACTTTTATTCAATAGTTTAAAAAGTGTATGGAAATTTTCATGAACAAAGAGTTATGCAACGGAAAATACCTTCCTCTTCCCCCATTAAATGCATTTACCACAGTAGTCAGTTTTAAAATGCCTGGGTATTTTTTAATTTCTTGTATACATATATAGCATTTCCATATTTAAGAAGCTATTGTCCTGAGCAGTTTATGAAAAGGCATTATTTAAACTACCTAGTTACAGGACATTTGTATGATTGATAACAAGCACAGAACAGTTTATGGACTTTAAACATTTAATGTGCCTTTTCATTAAGGAAGGCAAGTGATAACTAGGTCTGCTTAACACTGTGAGTGTCAATTTAGTACCATGTACTTAGATCTGCGCTAGAAAGACACACAAAACATTTTTGTGAAGTATATTTTGTTACAATAAACCGAGCTTGTGCTCCATCATGATGTGTGGTTCTCCCATAATCTCACTCTGGGAAGGATCTGGAAAAAGAAAGTTGACAGCATGAGGCCTTTACCAAGCCACAAAGACCGACAGCAGCTAATGAAGGTCAATATCTCTTTTAATTATAATGCTTAGTGCAACAGTTACTTGACCGATTTTTGACAGTGTTGCAGAGTGCAGATACGTAACTCAGAAGCCTCTATCCAAAGCACTGATCAGAGAACAAACATATACATTGTGGAACAGCTTATCATAAGTAAAATATTCATATTCAAGTAAAACCAACCAGTTCTGCATAAGCACAGACTCCAACTGCCCAAATCTCAAAAGGGATTACATTTCAAGTTTAGCATTTGAAAAAACTCGAGTCTGACTGAAGTTTTTCTCCATAGCTGCCCTACACCTTTTTGCAACACAACTTCCCTGCACAACAGGTGCTCACAGTCCTCCCTTCTGTTAGCTGGGACATACTCCTGATTTCTCTTCTCCACCCAACTGCCTAGTTTCACAGAAATTCTACATCCCTAAATACCTCTGAGATTTCCTTCATTCTGTAAAGTATGGTTGACATTAGCTACTGTACTCAAAGGCTACCAAGGAATGTGGAGAGGACACAAGAGAGACCAATACAGTCAGTATGAACTTCTTTTCTATACAAAAAAATTAAAATTTTTAAAAAATTACAACAAATGAAAAAACAATCCCAGGGCCAGAACACAAGTTGTGACTGGAAGAAATATTTTTTTTTATGGGTGCATCAATCATGTTTTCCTTCAATAAATAAGACATATTAATGCCTCTGATTCCTCCAGAGATAACAAAAATATTTAGTCCACTTCCTGATAAATAAAGCCTTACCAAAAACACTTGTAACCCACTCACTCCTCAGCACTCTATAAAAAAAATCTAACAGCTTGTTGTGAGCAATGGTAAACAACCAAATTTCTACAAATTATGTTCGACATTGCTCTACTCCTGTGGAACCACAATAGCCCAAGATTCCTTCCCTGGGTCCCTATCTATCTCTCTCTATCTCTCTCAGAAAATAACCCCAGATTTACACCATGCCTTTAGATTCAGATTTGTCTTATTTTCAGCTTCCTATCTCCCCAGCTATTTCCATTCTCCAATCCCACTTCAAAATACTCTCTCTGCCTCCTTCCATGTTCTCAGGTACCAGCTGGAAATAATTTGTTCAAAAGTCATTTTTCCAGGTTTATTCTATTCCACACATACTAATAGTCAAAGGCTACCACACAAGTGCAGCCTGTTGAGTTCATCTGAGGGAGCCTTTCCCCTGCTAAGTATCTGTTTCATTAGTTCTGTACCTCTTCTCTAACATTTCTTCTTAATCACAGAACTTACAAAACTTTGTAACCTCTGCTTGACAAAATCTGCATGAGTATTTTAGAAATTTCTGAGGAAAGAGGCATGCAACCTACGTGAATAATCTACACCTTTAGAAACCCAGCCTACAAGCAAATACTGTCTTGATCAATATTTCACATAACTTACAGCTGAATTACATTTATTTCTCCTTCCCCAGTGCTTCTTTGCTTTTAGGATTTAATTTTGTACTTTGTATTTTGGGAGTTTAATTCTTTTGTTCAGTAGAGGCAAAGAACTCCACAGTTCCCAAATTTTAACTTTAAATGTTTCCATAACATTAAAGCCGGAATGTATTTACCATTAAGGATATCCTCAAAACCAATGCATTCATCATTTCCCCTCAAAATATCCATTGCCATGTTTGAGCTGTGAAGAAATGGTAGACGCTGGACCTGTAAAAAGAGTTCAAGCAAGAGTTCAAGTTTCTGCAAGTCTGAAATAGAAAGGGTTCATACTTGGATTTCTCAGTCTGAAGTGACTGAGAAAAATCAACAGGCAGAAAAAACAAGACTGGAATAAGAGAACTACTGGCACACAAAGACATGCAAACATGACCATCTTCTTTTGGTTATCTGTTTGAAAAGAACATCCTTCTGACAGATTTTCAGTTTTCACTGCGGTGTTGGTTGTACAGCAAATACTGCACTTTAAATACTTATAATTAAATACTTTCATAAATAAAATAATAAATAATAAAATAAAATAATGAAGTCTCCTCTGTAAAGCTCCTCTCATAAATTTGGGGAGGTTCACTGCAAACCTCCACACCCTGAGGTCAGTACTGGGCAACTGAAGTATTATAGTTTGGAAACGACATTCTAAGCCTCCTAATGTCAGGAATGCAAGTGAAAGAGCTATATTGACTTTCACATTTAAACATAATCCTACTTTTAATTAATCTAAATCATAATTATATCTCAAATCTCAACCTATTCTTAAGCTTCAAGTCCACTCCCAGTTACTTTCAACAGTCTTCTGTACCCTTCACTCAGTATTTCCAAAAAAAATCCAAGTGGTACACATAGATTTCAGAGCACAAACATTCTGAGAATGCATTCACTACTACTAGAGATACTTCAGTTAAACAGCAAGAAAACTTGAATACCCAAAATTAATCTGGAAGCGAAAATCCTTCTAATCACCCTATTTCCCCCACCCATCTCCCAAAACCACCTCTGGAGACAGACTAACAGGATATCCTCACCTCCCTCATTCTCTGCAATATGCAACCTGTTTCAGGTTAGTTAGGAAAAAGATTCCTCAAGACAGCACAGCTGAGACCAAGGGATGTTTTCATATCTTACATCCTGACTTTCACATCTTCAGGAGAAGTAACTTCTGCCAAGCTTAATGCAGCTCAGTATGATTTAGCAGCAACTTATCACTGTGAGTACAAAATTGCTCTAACTCACTTGGAAAACCTACTCTTAGTAGCCTGACAACCCTCAAGACAAAAAAGTTTAATATTATCAATGAGCCTTCTATGTTTCCCCTTCTCCAGCTACCCTCAATCCTAGGAAAAAGAAGGAAAAGGCAACAGACTCAGCTTCTCAATTAAGAGTTAAAGCCTTTGAACTTAACTCCCTGTAGACCTCCCTTGATCTTACAACAAAGGCTGAGGAACAATAAGCGCATAGCAAACTCTATGTATCAGGTTTCACATTACCTCTACATCTACTCCCAAATCACTACCTGCTTCAGACCCCTGAGTCTCTTTACCCTACAGCTGCAGAGACTCCTTCCTGCAAAGGTCATACGTTCTGCAGGGGAGAATATTAATTTTAGGAATTGTTACTCAATTCCTCCTGCTTTTCTCTGAAGGTTTACAGGAAGCAATTCCACAGCAAGGCAAGAACACTTAGCACTTCACCAAAGAACCAACAAAAAAAGAACAGCAGTTAAAAAGCTTTAGCATATTGACTGCTCTAAAAATTAGTAATTGCACTGTTTAGTTCATCATTTTTAACAGCAGTTTTTTAACAGTGAATTAATTTCTTTAAGAAACATAAGGTATCTCAACAAAGAAAGATGTGTCTCTGAAAGCATGTTTCAAGGTAAACATTTTTTCAAATGGCTTAAGTTATACCAGTTGGATATAAATGCCTACCTGTTTCACTGCTCTGAATTCCATCTGCAGCTTTAAAGGTGCATGGATTCCTTGGATGTTTCTCAGCGTGGCAAAGTTTGTTTTATCTTGATTTAACTGGAACTGTCACAAACAGTATTGATTTTTATTTTATAAAAAGTTACTTTAAAGTACAGCCATAGAAGAAATTTGTGACATCCTACTTAAAAGAACCTGCTTATTAAATTTGTGTGTAAAAATTCAGTGATACCATCAAACATGTCTCAAGTGTTCGGGAAAGAAAGTGATGCAATAAGATTTGTTCTATGAAGATGAAATTGGTTTTTTGCTGGATTTTATTTCAAGTTAATAGCAGAAATTTTATTTTGTTACTTTTGATAATCAGGAGGTGCAACACCACCAAGTGGTATAGTTTTGCACTACTTTACTACATTATTGTCTGGATGACTAGGAAACTCAGTCCAGTCTGAAGATCACAAAAGCCAATTTGATGTCATTAATTAGTCATCAAAGACTACTTGAAAACACTTGATATACTTATTTTCTAATCAATCAGGAAAACAGAGCACCTCATGCACTCCTTATGATTGTGAAAAATAAATGAAAACTCATATTTTTCCCAACTGCTTTCAAACTTATCAGTAAGACAATCTATTTAGTAGAGACTTTTTTAAAATAAAGTTCTCACTCATGTATACTGGAGTACAAAGAAGTAAGTTATACTTAATGTTAAACTTAAGCTTAAATAATCAAAAAAATTCAAATCTCTAATTTTAAAACCTGTACTCCATCACCATGACAAAAGCCTATTATTATGAGAATATATTTATGAGAAGGGATCTCAAAAGCCAACAGAAAAATACAAGTCAAAGACATAACAAACATTTTCTTTGTAACAATCTATATTGAATGTTTTTCAAAATTTAGCAGAAAATACTATTTATATGCCTCATCCTAATCCTAATAATTATTTTTCCATTTCTTTTATTTTATAGAGGTAAGAATTTTTGGATAGGAGAAACATTTGGTTTCTACCAGTGCTACCTGAGAAACCTTTTTAACATTATAGCAGAAAAAAAACCATAACAATCTCAGGCTAAGTTAAGTATTTTCTCATTCAAATGTACATGAAAATAATTCTTAAACTGGCCTTAAAGTTACAGAAAAATTAACCAAACGTGGGAGAAAGAATTTAGAAGATTCATATATTTATTAGGGGATCACACAGCCTGTTTTATTTCTGTGCTTTTTTGTCTCTTTAGCATGGGATCTTTTAATTATACAGGTTTTGTATGGCAAGAACAGAGTTACAAACTAAGTTACAGCAATGAGTTTTAAAAAAAAAATCAATCAACAAATAGCTCTGAAACATTTATAGTATTTATAAATAAGCTCACATCATCGTTTAAATACAAGGCAACACTAACACTGGCTAAAATTCGCAGACATTAGACATTACAGTCTAACTTAGCAATTTGGAACATTCTATCAAAGTAACAACTTTGCTTCAGGACAGTTTGATACATCATATTTTCTGTGCTGAGGAAACAGGCACCAGAGACATTCAGTTCAACCAGCAAGCTCGGCCTCCCTCTACCTTCCACAGACTACTTGTAATGGTCCATGAGCAATGACTGAGGCAGATGAGATTGCAAACACCTATGAGAAACTGTAGGTGTAAAATGTCTAGATGGGACTGAGACATTTATAGAAAATCTGAAAATGAAGATAGATGGTAAATCTACAGACTAAATGGGAGGATCAGCCTTCACGAGGTGACAGGCGTGCCCCTGGCCTACCTGTGTGGCTGCACACACACTCTTAGATGACTAAAGCTGACCAGACAAGTCCCTACTCGGAAGTCTGCTTACACACTTGAAGCAAGGAGAAATATAAGAGATTAATATTAAACAGACTTGCTGACAATGTTATTTGTATAAATAAAATGTTACTACTGTTGAACACCTTCATTCTGTTAAAGACCCTGCTCATTACTGGCTAGTTCACAAAGCAGTCCAGATAACCACATTGTTACTTCAAACTTCGCAATTCATTAAGAGTGAAGATGGCTACATTTGATGTTATGCTTACATTCTTTTCTGTCAACTGCAGTGGGTGGCTGGGCAACAATTCACTTTTCACACTTGTAAAGCTAAAAGAAAAAGAAGAAAAAACATTAACTTCAAATTAATTTGGATATGGTTTAAGATGCATTCCAAAACCAATCTGATACAAACACCAGCCCACAGAGACACACAACTAGCAAAATCTGAGCTACAGAGAAAGAAAAAAAAGATTAATAGTGAAGCAGAAAGTAAAATCTCTAACCACAGCACTACCAGAAGAAAAAGAATTTCAAACATCCTTTATGCTTGACAAAATAGAATGTGTTTTTCTTCCTTGATTCCTTTCAGAAAGAGATTAAAATATTAATAAATGAAATCATTACAGATTTAATTATGTCCAAGCTACACTGCATTTAATTTTGAAGTCTTTACACTTTTGCAATGGAATATTGTACACACTTTCCCCCAATGCCAGTTGTATGGCATTTTAAACGTTTAAACTCCATTAACTTATTTTAGATTCATTATCCAAGACAGAGAGGGAAAGTTCACGCTTGTGTAAAAATGGCAAACTCCTCCAACTATATTTATTATATTATTTTTGGGTTTTGTCCCAGTGCTGAAATTAACCATCTCCCACAGTGTTACTGCACACTCATATCCATGTATATTAAAACTATCAGCTGTTTCACAATTATAAGTACTTTGCTGTTTCTTTTCTAAAGAAAAGTATCACAGAGCCAAATGCCTAGTTGCAACACACCTTGCACAAAAGTTCTGTAAAAAGCCAACATTTAATACAGACTGAAGTTTAACACTGCCTATGAAACAATTCAGCAAGCAAAAGTAAAGCGTACCCTCTGCGCAGAAGATCATGACCTTCAAATAGCCCTGAAGATGAAACTTCTGTAAATGAGATACTATCCTTCAACAGAGAAGCAGTGCCTCTGGAATTCTGGAACAAAAAGAAAGAGGATTACTTCAACAGAACCAGACCACTTTTGTATGGGCCATTAGACCAGCCAAATGAAAGAAAGTGCTCAAAGACTCAATTAAAAAGGCTCAAAGTAAAGGATAAGCCTTTCTTTAGAATAGAGGCAAAACAAAAACACACACAAACACCCAAATACATAAACCCTACACTAATACAAAATTCTTTCAGAGAGTCTGATAAAAACTAAAGGTACTGACAACATTTTTGGACCTGGTTGACCCACATCAAGTTGAACTCACAATATACCCTGTTTGTTCCCACCCTTGGCTGCAGGGAAGGAAACAGTCAAGTCCTGACAGCTGACAAGACAGAAAGGAGCATTCCTTTATTTATTTTAATACTGACACAAGATCAAATCTAGCCATGGTTTGAGCTTGCCACAAGGAGAACAAGGTGTATTTGAGCAGTGCCAGTTAACTGAAAGATCAAAGGAAAGCAGCAACTTGTAGTGGATTACCAGAAGTCCACAGACTTACTAAGTACTGCTTACTAGTAACCAGGCCACTAATTTCACTCTAACCTACCCGAATTTATCAAGATGATTTTAGAATTGTTCATAAAAATTGCTCCACCAATAGGACAATGTCTAATAAACAGCCGAGGGGACAGCAATAATCTCTGGAAGGTGACAGTGATGAGCAGTTCAGTGAAAGGGTTTGCCCCAGCAGATCCAACAGAAAACTCATGCTTACACTTAAGATCTTTTGTACCAACATGTGAGCTCTCAGTAACGTAAGAGCTGTAAGCCAGCCCTAACGCGCCTGTTGTTACACGCATATAAAGCATCTACCAATTTACCAACTCAGCGCTGACTAGACCTTTGTGGGACTGCTGTGAATGAAAGCATTAAACAGACACGGTACCTGGGGGACGTGACAAGAGGGAAGATCAAAGTTAAAATCACGGAGAAAACCACGAAACACTCCCCAAACGCAATTCTCCAGCCACATCAGTGCCGGGCCCGTCTGAGGCGCTCCCAGCGCCGCTGCCCACCACAGAGGGCCGAGGCGTGACTTCCCTCCCCGGGAGCTGCGCCGCCGAAGCCGCAGGCTGCGGAGGCTGGGACCACCGTTCCGCCTGGAAGTCCCGCTCCCGTCCCCGGGAAGGGCTTTAACCACAGCCGCCACGCGCCCTTCGCGCCTCCCGGGCCCCCGCGCCCATGAGGGAGTCCGCCATGGTCGCGCCGGACCGCCGTGACTCAGCACGGCCCCGCTGGCCCTGGGAACGCCGAGAGGGTGAGGGGAGTGGGACCTGGCGGCGGCGGGGCGGGAGGACCAGCCGGGTGCGGCTCGGTGCGGTCCGGCACAAGAACACCCCCGCCCGCCCGGCGCCGCCGCTGCCCGCACTCACCATCTTGAGCCCCCGGCACGCGCAGCCACTTCCGCCGCCACCGCCGTCTCACTTCCGCCCCGCCCCGCGTGCGTCACTGCGCGAGGGGCGGGGCCGCGCGGGGCAATGGGCGCGCTGAGGGGCGGGGCCCGTGTGAGGGGAGCGGGGATCGCCGTTCGTGTCCCGGCCTCCGACCGCCTTGGGCACAGCTCGCTTACCCGCGGGGCTGTGTCTTGTAGACTGAGCGCGCTGTTCACAGAAGCACAAAATCAGTTGGGTTGGAAAAGCCCTGTGAGAACAGCGAGTCCAACCTGTGACCGAACATTGCCATGTCAGCGACACTGTGGTGCTGAGTGCCATACATAGTCCTTCCTTAAACACTTCCAGAGACGGTGATTCCACCACCTCCCTGGGCAGCCCATTCCGATGTTAAATCACTTGGTTTTTTTGTGAAGCAATTCCACCTCATGTCTAACCTAAACCTCTCCTGACAAAACTTGTGACCATTTCCTCCTGTCACTTATTATCTGGGTTGCGGCCGACACCCACCTGGCTGCGCCCTCCTTTAAGGCAGCTGTAGAGAGCAATAAGGTCACCCCTGAGCCTCTTCTTTTCCAGGCTGAAACTCCAGGCCGTTCTCCCATGCCAGCGAAGCCCAGCTGTCTCAGTGGCCCCAAGCAGGTGCTGAAGGTGTCTAACACCTTCCCATAGCAGAGCAGGGCAGCCAAGTTTGTGGTGCCTGGTGTGGGGAGCTTTTCTCAGTCGAGCCCATCCTGTCAGGCAGCAAAAACTGCTTGGGTTTTGCTCCAAAAGCATCACAGTGCTGACAGCCTGAGGTGGGGAAACCAGGCAGTGATGCTTCAAGAGAGTTTCCCGTATATTTCAAAGCACAGCTCCACATGTGTACGTGGGATATTTATTTTACATATTTCTTCTGAGAAGTGTAGCTCATATAACACTTTAACCTTTTAATTTGGGTTGCCCTTAATAACCTGAATGGATCTGTGTTTGTAAATTCTATATGTGGCTATTAAACACCATCTCTGTCTCTCACACATGCACACACACAGACATAGAGGCAATATTGCAACAATTTTATATATGTTTTAATGGCACTCTGATTTGTAAAATAAAAAAACAAATTGAAAAATCAACAGACTTTATAATCCGTTTTTCTCTTTCTTGGGAAAAATCTCTACACCTCTTAAACCCCACCCCCCACATTCTCAACCCAAGTTCTGGCCCTTTGTATTTAAGTCTTAGGTTTAAAGCAAAAACTTCAAAAGAATGAGAATGGAGGACTGGAGTTTTTAAAATAAGTTTTAGGAAAATGAGTACCACAAAGGTTTCTCTGATCTTATAATTATAATGGGTACTTGGTTATTGTGGTGCTGGATTCATTATTATAGAATAGATGTGAATACAGAAAAACAAATCAAGTTCCTGTTTAACTGCAGCTTACAGAAAGCTAGGTTTTGTCACTAAATGTATTTATTTATTGACTGAGTTTGTTGATCAGGATATGACTGTAGAGATGAAACATCTAACTTTCAAAGTCATTCTTGCAGGACACAGACAGGATGCAATCACTCCATGTACATTTTTGACATCACTATGGTCCGCAGTCTAGGCTGCATAACATAAAAGGACATACATTGCAAGAAAGAACTGGTTTTCCTTTAGAAGCATTCACACTAGGGAAAACTTCCAGACATAAACAAAAATCATACACATATTTTTTCATCAGATTACCAGGTATTCAAATTGGATCAAGGCTTGATTTCTTTCACAACCAACTTTGCTTTAACGATCTTGCAGTGAGCATCTCAACACTGGGTGATCGAATGCCTCTCTGAAGCCCCACTGCAAATAAATAGGAGTTGCACGAACAATTGTCAGAAATGGCATTAGAAATGAGAGCACTGCACCAGTCACAGCAGCCCTGGCACACAATGCCCTGTGTGCTGAAACCTCCCTGTCAGGAGTATCCTGGCTGCAGGGCTGGATACTCTGCCTGAAGGCATCTCCTCGGCAAATGGTAGATGGTAACAGGATAGAAGGTGAGATGCAGTGGGTGCAATTGCTAAAGGGGCCTTCTTGTCTGGAGGCACTCTTTTAAGGGGATGTGGAAGCCTTAAAATTAGAGTGAAAATAACTATAGCGCCTCTAATTTCTACAAAGTTACAATGATTAATTTCACATGTTGCCTTTAAAGATAAACTACAAATGTTTTGGGGGGGGGGGTTGTGAATTTTTTTCCATCACTTTATGTAGAGGAGGTCTGAAATATATGACTGTTTCAAGTGTTTTCTGTAAGTTTTTACCACAGCATTTTTGGAATGTCAAATCTGATCATTTTGATTTAGCTGTGGACCTTCATTGAAGATGCAAGCTATCCTTAGACTATGGGTACTTTTGTCTTTTGGAAATGGGGCAAGTGTTTACTCTTTTTTTAAAAAAATTATACTGTTCAAATAATCTTTTATCAGTCAAATTGGAATTAAAACCCAAAAACACCTCATTAAACAAGATTAAAACAGCCTGATCTAAAGCAAATTCCAGTTTCAGTTACTTGGCTTCCCCTTGCCTGGATCCCAGCGGGGCATCATGTCATGGGAGGTCTGTACAATTCCTGCTGAAGCCTCCAGAAGAACGGTGGATTCAAAAATTGTCACACAGAGGCACAACATTAGCTCAAAACCTGCTTTAACATTTCAGTAGAGTTCCCAGAAGAGAGCTGGCTTCCACAGATCTCCTCCTCCATGGGTAGAGAAGGCTGATATTGGGCAGTGTTCGCTACCTAACCCTAACCTTAATCCTAAAAAATTTTGTGGGGGGCAAAGGCTGCAAAAGGAGTATGTTCTCCAAGGAAACTTGTCTTTGTATCCATGTTTTTTGATATTGATGTGGCTTTGTCACTTTTCAATATATAATTGCTTTGACATATCAGTGTCAGCAATCTGTTCTGACTACGTGAACCTCTATCAGAAGAAAACCTTTATTCTGTGGGACTGGGAAACTCTTTCACTGGTTTTTGTCAACAGCCAGTTATAACTTGTTAAAGTGAAAGTACTTTTTTATTTGTTTTTAATCAAATCAAATAAACACGTTTTCTTTGATCTTTCAGAACTCCTTTCTTGTTAACTTGCTTTATACTTTTATGTTTTGGTATTCATTGTAAATCTAATTATTTTAAAAGTTATTTTGTTTTACATTATTAAACGTTTTCTGAATTTAAGATAAACAGGGGCATGTTTTGTTAAAGATTAAAAATAAATTTCACACAAAACTGCAAAATGTAGCAAAGATAATAACATGTAGGCGTCAGACTGTTCCAAAACAAGACTCTCTAGGGGCTTCGTTAAAACCATGTTCTGAAAGGGCTCAGGAAACCCCTGTCTCTAACCCACCCTTTCCTGAAGCTGGTGAAAGTATTTAGAAAAAAGTTAATGTTGCAGGGAGAAAAAAAAAAAACAACCAAAAAACCCCTACATATTGCTGAAGGAGTTTATTTTTTCCTGTTTGTTTGCCAGCAAAATCTACGGTTTGTAGGATCTTCTTTAGTCAAAGCTTTCCTGTCCTTATTCAAAAGCAGCAAGCAGACCAATAGGTGACCAGAAGGAGAACATCAGGATCTCTCTATGAATGTAGACTTCTTTAACATACTGTAACGTCTAGTGGGGAAACACTACTGACAACCCCTCGTTTCGTTATCTGATTTATAAGTCATCAGTGAAGTTTAAGTGAAAGGATAATATATCTGTATAAGAGTCTTTTTGGTGGGTCAGACAAGGGAAGCCAATTGTGGTTTTATCCAAATAACGTATTTGTATTGAAAAGGAGTCCTTGTTTTCTAGAAGTAATTACTTATCTCGCAGCTTGTCAGTGCTTTCGTAAGTCTGGGAGTACTTTATTTGTACTGATGTTGTTGTTTGTACTCTGCCGATCTGGGCTTCCCTGAGCTCTTTGAGCAGACTCAGAAAGGCAGGATGCTGCACTGGGAGAGCCGATCGCTAGGGGATGCTCGGTACCCGAACACCCCGCGCCTGCTTCCCTCAGCTCTCCCCAGCCGCCTCTTTTCAGTTTCGCTCAGATATTCCTGGCTGCGTTTGAGTACTTTCTCACTCTCAGTGCTGTGAGAATTATGAAAAAAACAAGGTCAAAAGATAAAAAGCAAGGCATGTGCAACAGCTGAAGCTATATGGGCAGTACTTGACAGAATGCTGGTAAGCTTATTTCCCAGTTAATGGATTGATAACTATTTTCAATAAGCTCTATTACCTCCTTGTGATGCTATTAAACTAGTCCTTCAGGCTGAGTCCAACGTTTAACCCAGCCAGTGTTCACATAGTCAGGGCCTCTGGTCTGCAATCAGGCTCCTCATGAGAATTCAAAGGAAAATATTTTTATGTTTCCCCTCAGTCTGGAGTGATTTTTCTCCCAGAAGCATACCCACTCTGAGCAGATAGGTGAGACTGAGAGCACATTTCCTGTGAGAGTGTCTTCCTACGGGAAACCTTGGGTTTAATTAATGGTAGTCACCGCTGAAAGAATTGAATGGAACATTACTTCCTAGTCCTGCTACTGTGCAGGAAAAAAAAATCCCACAAGAGTTTGCCAAAATGCCTAGCAGCAAAAGGGGAGTCTGAGATTGCTCTGACTCATAACCATATCCATTAAGCAGCTAAATAATCAGAAGTCACCTTAATTTCCTCCTATGGCTGAATACAATAAAAGAACCCATAATCACCAGAACTGAAAAGCTGGCATTCAGAACAGAAAACAGTCATTTTCAGCAAAAATATATGCACCACTAAGAATATTTTTTCTTTTCCCCTCTAAGAAACTGCCAATCAAAAATATTATCTACTTGCATTTTCTGTTATTTTAAAAATGAAATTGTGACAAAGTTTCTGATCCAGCCACAATGCGCTATATAAGAATTAGGCGCATGGATATCATGGTGGTGTCTGGCTTAGAAATAGTTAAGGCTCAA